GGGATGCTGGGAATCAAACCTGGGTCAGCCGCGTGCAAGGCAAATGCCCTATCCGCTGTGCTATTGCTCCAGCCCTATTTTGTGGTCTCTTCAGCTTTGTGCCCTTAATATGCTCTCCTAGTAGATTATCCTATGTCTTATAAATACTTTACTCTTCCTTTTATGATAGGTTTGCCATTTCTTTCCATTTAAGTGTCAGGAATGACGTTTCCACAGGGTGAATCAGCTTTGTCTCAATGCTGTACACCTGTTACTTTTGGTGGTGAAGGGACATTTGATTCTTTTTAAATTGTAGCTTAGCATGATTGTATTAACTTTCATGGTTTTAGAAGAAACAAAATTACAGCTCTCTCACCCCAACCAAAGTGCCCAAGACCCTCCACCACCAGCCCGCCCACTCCTTCCTGCCCTTTCCCTCACTGCCGGGTAACGGCAATCTTATGCGACAAAGCTGAGCATCGGAGGTTGTCCTTTCCCTCGTTTGTTTTCTCTACCTCAGATGAGTGACTTATTTCAAGATTGCTTTACTTTGAGTTTGCTTTCATGATTAGATGGTTTGTTAGCTTCCCCAATGTCCTTGCTTGCTTGCAGTGTGGGACACACACCCACCAGTGCTCTGAGATTACTCCTGCCTCTGTGCTTAGGGATCATGGGTGGCATTGCAGGGGTCCCAGTCAGCTCTGAGCCAGGCAAGTGCCTTAACCCTGTACTCTCTCCAGCCCCATCTTTTTAGTTCAGTTTCTTTTAAATAATTTTTATCTTTGAATGTACCATACATGTGTGCATAGTACATATTCCAGGTAAAAAGATTCTCTCCTAGTGCAGTCACACCATCAAATCTTTTTTTTCCCGCTTTTTTGGGTCACACCTGGTGATGCACAGGGGTTATTCCTGGCTCATGCACTCAGGAATTACTCCCGGCAGTGCTCGGGGGACCATATGGGATGCTAGGAATCAAACCAAGTCAGCCGCGTGCAAGGCAAATGCCCTACCTGCTGTGCTATTGCTCCAACCCCCACACCATCAAATCTTTGGTTTTGCTTGCTTCTCCCAGCACCCTCCCCCATCCTTCTTCCCTCCTCCACCCCCCAGATACACTTGGACAGTTTTTCAAATGCAAGGCAGATTTCCTTTTAAAATTATCTGTCACCCACTACCCTGCCTTGCCCGGCTCTCTGATAACTCAGTTTCTCTGCAGTCGGTGTTCTGCAGTTACTGGTTTCCTAGTTAGTTTTTTTTTTTTTATTCAGAGCTTCTTCATGCATGAAGCAAAACTGAATTTTTACTGGTCATCATGTGCTATGTATAGTGCCCATTGTGTTACTCATTTTTGTTTTGGCTTTGCGGTCACATCCAGGGGGCTCAGGGCTTACTCCTGGCCCTGCACTTAGGGGGTCAGTCCTGACTGGCTTAGGGGACCCTATGATGGGGTATCGGAGATTAAACCTGGGTCAGCTGCATGCAAGGCAAACTCCTTACCTGCTATACTGCCATTCTGACATTAGACTCGCCTGCTTTTATAGCCCCATTCTCTCTCTTTGTAAAAACACACCAAATTTAAATTACATGCACACACCCCACACACTGGTCACATTTGAATTCAGATCAAGGTCTTATTTCATCTTATGCATGGTCAAGGAATTCTTAGCTGAATGTTAGCGGATGTCGCAGAGTTCATAATCCACTAGGAAAGAGGGCTCATTTTTCCTTTGGAAACTTTTTATAATCAAATTGATATCAAAATCAAGCAAGTTTCCTGCTCAGACCCAAAGTGTTTTGGTTTGGTTTCAAATTGTGTTTCGGGGAACCTGGTGATAATACATCCTGGTTCCACCCCCAGTGCCAAATGGCTCCCCACCCATTGCTGAGCCCCCCCGGCCCTACCATGTTTGGCCTCAGAGTCCCCAAGCACCACTGGGGTGGTCCAGATTATCCCCAGCCCTCCAGAAGAATACCACATCCTCAGACCACTGCATTGAACTGGCCTATTTGGCTGAGAATTGCTACTGGGGAAGCCCCTCCCCACCAAATTGGGTTTCATTTATTTAAGTATAATTTACATCTAGTTAAATTCGCCCTTTTTTACTATAGAGCCTGCAGTGTGGGTTTAATTTGCATGTCTTTTGTTATAAACATGATGTGTTATTTTTATAATCACAAGAAGGGAAATTTTAAAACCCTCAACTGCAATGAATAAAACTTTTAAATAAGTCTAGTCAATTGTGCATTCTTATTTCTTTCAACCTCAGCAAATTTCATCCTTTGGCAGATTTGGAGCACCTAGAGCAATACAGAATGATTTTTTTCAAATGTATTCTTGCCAGTTTGGGAGCAGCATGCTAAGACAAATTGACTGTCAGGATGGAAAAGCTTAACTGGGAAGGCACATTTATTGAATAATTGAAAGGAAGAGGAAATGCATTACCGATTAGCCACAAAAATGCACGACGCCTAATCTGCACCTCAAGAGACTTATATAAATGGGGATTGTAAAACAGTTCTTCCCAGACTTCCAAGTGGTTACTCCCTTATTCCTAGGCTACCATACCAGATGAATGGATGTCCACTTTCAGATTTAGCTGGATGTGGTGTTGGAGCCATGCTTTCTAACCCAGTCTGATTTTGCCTCAGTGTTTTTACTGGATCCAGTCTCATCTTTACCTGCTTTGGGTTTTTATTTAATTTAATTTTTTTTTTTTTGCTTCTAAGTGGGCAGCATTGCATAAACTTGAGAAAGTCAGATTAGGTGGTGGCAGATTTAGAGCTCGAACTCAAGTTGTCTGATTCATGAAGCAACCAAATGACCTTCCAACCAGCCAGCGTTCAGCCAGCGTTCTCTCTGCGTTTATTTCCCCACTCATGGGAGGGGTCACATGAGATGCTTGCTATGCCCAGCACAGTCCAGGCCTCAGCCCTGAGTTTGAAATTGAATGAGATAGAAAGCCTGTGTGTATTATTCCTCACCATTCCTACCTAGGTAGCAAAGTGCTAAAGGGAATAAAAATTTGTTCCTCTCTCTGGCATAATCAAAACACGTTCCTGTTTCAAGAGCCTAACAATCCTCAATTAGCTGTCAGAGGGAATCTGTTTCCACACGCAGAGCTGCTGAGGAAGCCCGTGCTTGGTCCTGTTAGGATTTCTGGGTGGTTAGTGCCCTCTGCCCTGGACCTGATAACAAGCTTTCCTGTGAGGCGGCAGTGAGTGAGCTCTGGCTGCTCCCTGCATGGGAGCTCTTGGAAGTGCTAGAACAAACCTTGGGCCAGAGTCCCGCATGGGGCAGTCTTCGGGCTGAATGGGGTCTGCTCACATCTCTAACCATGCCATTCTCACAGCCTCCAGCTAGAAATGAAGGTTGCAGCAACTTGTGGGAGTCTGTTTCTAGCCCAGCCAGTCATTCCCTGGAGGGCTGGCAGGACAGTGCTGGGAGACTGTGTTCCCAGTGGCCTGGGGAGATGTGACAAGTTCGGGTCCATTTAGCCTAAAGGCAGCAAAAAGAACTCTGCCCCGGGGAAGAAGGGCCTGCTTTGGGGTGAATATGAGGGAAAGAAAGTGTCTTAATGCACCCAAGAGGACCAGTGAGAAGAGACTTGGTCCAAGTCGCCTGAAACCCCTTTGTGGCAGAGGCTGCAGAGATCTGTTCTCTTCCTATTCTGAGCAAAAAGTAAAGGATGGATCCTTTAGTGCCCCAAATGTGGGCAAGCCAGTGCCGCTATTTGCTTCTCTCCTGGCCCAGGACTCTCGGACAGAGCTCTGCAGGATCTGATTTAGGTCAGATCATAAAATTTTATGTTACAAGTTACATCCAGTGGCTGGAGCCATAGCAGAGCGGGTAGGGCGTTTGCCTTGCACACGGCCAACCTGGGTTCGATTCCCAGCATCCCATATGGTCCCCTGAGCACCACCAGGAGTAATTCTTGAGTGCAGAGCCAGGAGTAACTACCCCTGTGCGTTGTCCACAGACAATGAGGAGAGGAGCCTTGGTGCTGGGTGGGCTGGTTCTGGGCTCTCCCGCCTCTCATACTTAGTCTCTCTGCTGTGCTTTTTGTCTTGGCCCAAAAAAGAAACTCAAAAAGAGGGGGAAAAAAAAAGTTATGTCCAAAAATTTGGTTCTAAGTCTGTGTCTTTTGACCTTTGGAGATGAGCCTGTCTCTTTCAGTGCATGCAGGAGCATCCATTTGCTACTTGCAGGGAGGACTTCCCTTCTGTTTTCCACTCAGGCTGATGGCAGAGCCCACCCTTGCCCTCAGGTGGGGGTGGGGGTGGGGTGGGGTGGGGGGTCTTTTCAAAGCTCTTGCCTGTGGAGTTGACAGTATATTTGATCTCAGTCAGGTTTGCACCTTTGATCTTAGGTGCTATTGAGCTTTAGGAGTCTGAACTTTTGACAGGAAGTTTGGCACTTGCTTAACAAAAAAAAAAAAAAAAGGAAAGAAAGAAAAGACTTGTCTAAATGTCAAGTATGTCTCTGTCAGTCAGAATGGAAAGGGAGCCGGGAGGGAGGCGACCCAGAAGAAACATCTGTGTGGCGTGTGCAGTTAAATTACATGAGCTTCATTTACTGTTTGGAGAGGGGGGTGGGAATCAACTCGTCCGCTACTGGTTTATGAGATACATATATATATATATATATTATTTTTTAAATGAATCACTGTGAGATAGTTACAGGTTTACGAACTTTCTTGATGACGTTTCAGTCATACGATGATCGAATACTGCTTTCTTAAGTTACTGCTCCAGAAAAGACTTCGTGCAGGCTGAGGGAAGGTTTATTGGCAGGCGGCTTTCTGGACCTCATCTCGGCAGTTCTCCCTTCTCCCCCAGGGCTGGGGTGCTTGAGGGGTACCGCTGCCAGCCCCGTCCTGCGCCCGTGGCCCCATCCATTCGCATCATCCACAGGCCCCACCTGTGCAGAGGAGCCTTGGTGCTGGGTGGGCCGGTTCTGGGCTCTCCCGCCTCTCGTACTTAGTCTCTCTCCTGTGCTTTTTGTCTCGGCCTTGCCACAGACCCGGAGCTAGGCGTTGGCACCCCACCCGCACATGACAGCCAGGATGCGGGGCCCATCGTCCCCAAGATATCAGGTCTAGAGAGAAGCCAAGAGAGGAGCGAGGACTGTTGCAAGGAGCCCATCTTGGAGGCGTCCGTGCTGAAGGAGCCCTGTGCTCAGGTCCCACCGCCGCTCGCCCTGCCTCCTGCAGAGCCCCAGCCTCGAGCACCAGCGCCGTCACTAGACCCCGGCTTGGTGCCACGCCCCGAGGCCCCGGCACAGCCTCCGAGACCCAGCACCCAGACGCCCCAGGGCCCCGCCGAGCCCCAGCTGCAGCCAGCCCCACAGCCGCCCGTGCAGCGCGCCCCCCGGCCGCACTCCCCCACACAGCTGCTGCACCCAGGCCTCCCACCCGTGCCGGCGCACCCCCCAGGCCCCGGCCTCGCCCAGCCTCTGTCCGCCTACAACAGCAGCAGCCTGAGCCTCAACAGCCTGAGGTGAGCAGCCTCCTGAACCCGGGATGGGGGGGGGGGGCGGATTAGGGGTGGAGGTGGGGGGGACAGTCGGGAGCCGAGGGGAGCAAATCAGGGACAGGCCGCCCAGGCGACTCAAAGGAGGACAGGCTGGAGAGTGAGAATGTTCCTTGCAAGGAACTGGAAGCCTAGAGCATCTCCGGAGAGAGGGAGTCCGGAAGCAGTGTGAGGGCCAAGTTGGGGTCTCACAGAGGAGGGAAAGATGGGGGAGAGGGGCAGAGCCCACAGAAAGCAGGAGGAGGGAAGCGCGTGGGGCAGGCGGAGCGAGGGGTCAGGGCTTGAGGGGTACCCATGGCACAGCCTGGGGGTTATGGCTTCATTGAGTCAACTGGGGACGCCCTGCGAGGGGGTATTGCAGAGAAGAGAGGGCGCATGGCTCAGCCCTGTCCTCCCCAGGCTGCCCAGGGCCCACCTCAGCCCCTCCTATCCTGGGACTTGGAGCCAGTCGCACCCTCGGCCTTCCGCATCAGGCAGCCCACACAGAGCGGGGAGCCCAGGGACGGGCAGTGTGGCCACCAGGACGTGCCGAGTCCCTGAGTTCAGGGCACAGTGACACAGGCATAGATGGTGCGGGGTCTTGCCTCGGTGATGGTGGGTCAGAGAGCAGTGGGTGAGGTGCACTGTGGGCTGGGACGGGGAGGAAGCGCTTTGCTCACTCACTCTCTCTCTTTCTCTCTCTCTCATCCCACAGCAGCAGCAGAAGCAGCACTCCGGCCAAGACTCAGCCTGCCCCACCCCACATCTCGCACCACCCCGCCGCCTCCCCGTTTCCCCTGTCCCTGCCCAACCACAGCCCCCTGCACAGCTTCACACCCACCCTCCAGGCCCCCGCACACGCACATCACCCCAATATGTTTGCCCCTCCCACTGCTCTGCCTCCTCCACCACCGCTGACATCAGGGAGTCTGCAGGTCCCTGGGCACCCCGCCGGGAGCACTTACTCAGGTAGGACGGGGCCCCACGCGCCAGCAATGCCCGCCCCCTCCCACTGCAACGCCCCTTACTTGGGATTAATTTTATGATGGATGTCCCTTTATGACATGTGCTCTTCCTCCTCCATTCTCTGTGGGCCACGTGTCAGCAAGTAAATGGACCAGCTCCCGTACAAACCCCGTCCAGCCCCAGGGAAGGGCACTACCCAGAGAGTACTCGAGTTTGACGCCTACGTCTTCCCTGCTGCTGGGCACTGCACAGATCCTGTGTGCTGGCCCTCGGCACTCCCCCATGACCAAAGTCCCATGGGGCGGGCAGTGACTGTTTCATTCTGCAATCTTAAGTTTCTTACTTGCTGGGGCCTTCTCAGAGAAAGATGGACACTTATTTCAGTGCACCTGAGAACTTAGTGTAGCACTAGGTGACTCCTGGCCATGTTCTCCCACAGGTATCGTAGGAAAGCGGAGATTTGTTTACCAGTGAAGAGCCTGCGAGTTCTGCCACTTTAACATTTAGTTATCAGGCCATTCTCTGTTCTGAGTCTTCTGATTCCCAGGGCAGACCCAAGCATAGTAATATTGTCAGAGAGAGAGAGAGAGAGAGAGAGAGAGAGAGAGGAGAGAGAGAGAACGAACAGCTGCTAGAGCACTTCCCTTGTAGATGGCCAGCCTGGGTTCTGTGTGTGGCACCTCAGATGGTCCCCTGAGCCCTGCCAAGAGTGATCCCTGAGCGCAGAGCCAAGAATGAGCCCTGAGTGTAGCTGGGCATGGCCCAGGTACCCCACCCCATTAAAAAGACAGATGGGGAAACTGAGACAGCTGGGTGATTCTCAGGCCCAGCATCACTAAATGACAGGGCCAAACATGAACCTCAAGCCCAGGGCCTGGCTGGTTGGCTTACCTCATTCCGAAACTGCCTGGGCCTTGCAGTTCAGTGGGGTGACTCAGCTGCACCCCTGGGAGCCCCAGCTCTTTCCTGTGTCCCTCTCCCCCATTCTGAGGAGGCAAGGAAGCGGCTATCCCCAGAAAAAGTGTCACTCTCTCTCCTTTCTCTTCCAGAGCAAGACATCCTGCGGCAGGAACTGAACACCCGCTTCTTGGCCTCTCAGAGTGCTGACCGGGGGGCTTCCCTGGGCCCCCCACCTTACCTGCGGACCGAGTTCCACCAGCACCAGCACCAGCACCAGCACACGCACCAGCACACACACCAGCACACCTTCACGCCGTTTCCCCACGCCATCCCACCCACCGCCATCATGCCGACGCCAGCACCTCCCATGGTGCGTACCCCAGGCAGAAATGTGAGGATAAGTAGAGCACGACTTTTTTTTATGCAGCCGGGGGAGGGGCGGGGGGGCGGGCTCTCGGGTACAGGAGAGTGGATGGAGAGTGTCCTGGGTGGGGGCGGGGGGGCTCCACTGGTCTTGAATAGGGGGAAGGGAAAAGATGCCCCTTGAGGCAGTACTGAGTCAGGGTCTGAGGTAGGAACTGGTCCTGGACAGTTGTGTGGGGAGTTTTCTTCTAGATGCTAGCAGAAGAGTATGGTCAGTCTCAGAATGAGGGAGCTGTGTTTCCGCAGACACCCTGAGAGGACCCGGTCTCTGAGCCTGGCACTAAGTTAACAAGTCGAGGCTCACAGAGAAGAGGAGACGCCCAGAGCTCTGCTGACTGGCCTGCTCCTCTAGGACAGGCCTCCACGCCCCCCCACACCCTCTCCTGTGGAGGTGTCTGTTTCGTGTTTCTCAGACAGAGCCCCTTGGAGAGCAGGCCTTGTCATGAGAGGCCAGGAAGCCCAGGGACAGAGCGCTGCTCTTGGGCTTGGTGGGGACTCGACGTGCCAGAAAATCATTGAGGGTTTCTTTCTTCCTTGGGACCTGTGGGGACAGGGGCAGATGAATACCTGGCTGAGTAGGAAAGTGGTACTTGATGTTTGAGGAAATACTTGATTTTAAGACCATTACCAGAGACTGGGCAAATAGATTTGAATTTTAGGATTTTAAGAGGAATCCTATGGGTTAAGCTTAATTTAGTGGGGCAGGAGGTGTTTGGGGCCATACCCCCCATGGTACTCAGGCTTACTCCTGGCCTCGTGCTCAGGGGTCATTCCCAGTGGTGTTTGGGGGCCATATGTGGTACAGGGATCAAACCAGGATTGGCAGTGTGCAAGGCGAGTACTTTAACATGACCCTGTATTACCTCCCAGGCTCACAACTTCATATTTTAACACATCTTTAAGTTTTAAAGTTTAGTGTATAAACTTAATTTTAGAAGAGTATTAGGGATGATGGTTTGGGACCAGCTTTTTTTTCCCATAGCAAATCTTTCAGCTTTTTTTTCTAAATGAACAAAATGTCTCCATGGGTATACCCTTTAATGGGCCTGTTATTTTGGGAAAGAGTTCTTTTTTGCTTATCTGAGTGAGTTGTTTCACAGATACATTGTCAGAGGGGAGTTCACACCCCAGGATAATGACATTATATAGAAGAAACAATGGTAGATACTCATGGAAGTTCCAGAGAATGGATTTTCATCCTGGCCCACAGTATTTTGTGCTGGGGCAAAGAGCCAAAAAGAAGCTAAAAGGGAGGGAATTCTCTGGATGTGCCAGACCAAATGCTCACTTTGCTCTGATTTATCTAAATAATTGTCTCTTCAATTTAGCTGTTTGGTTTGAACTAGTTTCAAAATAGAGAGTAGAAAGCAAAATAATAATAACAATAATAGTAGTAATAATAATAATAACAACTACGGTGTGACCAGGACCTAGAGGCCCCTTCTGGGTTTTCACCTTCATTGGCCATTTCTGCTTGCTCTCTTGTCAGTGACTCAGGCACTCAGGAGAGTTTCATGTCCAGTCAGCTAGTGGAGTCTGGTTAGAGCGTAGTGACAGACATTGGCTCAAGGCCTTCTCCACAAAAGCAGTGAACAACAATGTAGATTCTCGAAGTAACTAGCTTTTGCTTTGATCCCTTTACAGTTTGACAAATACCCTACCAAAGTTGACCCCTTCTACCGGCACAGTGTGAGTCTTCTTCCCGTACGCCATGCTTGCCGTGACCGCTTTCCGTGTTGTGCTCTTGCCACAAGACTGGCAGCCTTCCCTAATCATCTCTGCAAGAATTCCCATGGCTCCTCGTCACTTCGGATGCTTGCTTTTGTGACTTTTGCTTTTGGTAAAGATGCAGTATCATCTCCTGAATCAAAAGATTAGAAGCACTCTCTTGCAAGGCTTTAAAACAAAGAAGCCAGACCTCTATCCCGCACGGGGTTGTCTACCGTTGGATAGTTTTGAGGTACTCCGAAATCCCAGGATTTCACTCTGCCTTCATTCCAGATGTTATTAACACAAAATGCCTGGAATTCAACCTCAGTGACTTCCTCCCGGTAGAAGGTCCCTGAACTTTCTGACTCAGAGTTTTTAAAAATAAGAATCAGAGTTGATTTCTCTGGACTGAATGTAGACCCTCTTCCATCTGGCTAAGTACCATTCTCCCGAGCTTGTCACAATTGAAAATAAAAATATAAAACTAAAATATTTTAAATGTGAATCAGTATTTTTTTTCCTCCTTAGACTATTTAAAAGATACTTGCTTGGTACAATTTTAAAAAATTGTTCTGGAATATAAATTAGTACCAGCCAAACTGTCTATGTTCAGTGACTTACATCCGGTTTGTTATCCCACAAAGGCCTTGAACAACCTTACCATGATGTTTTGATTATGGAGTGAATACTGCATCGCTTTTACCTGAACATTTTGCAAGTTTCTTTTCTTAGTGGTTTATTTCTTTTATTGAAACCAGAAAGAAGGAAGATTGACAATTGCTTGTAGTCATGTTGATTCAATCTGCTTAACATTCTCGCTTTGATTTTTGGATGGTATTATCTTGTCACTGGAACTGCTACTTATTAGATCTACAAAGCCTGGGAATTCACTCTTGCTTTGAACCAGAGAAGCAGATACTGCATTAGAGCTGAGTGTAGCCAAGAAGTCAGGACCAGAAGATATTAGAAATCAATAGAAAATTACTCACTCGAGAGATAGTCAGAACTACCAGGCCTCTGAGAAGGATGAGGAAAGTGAGTAGCACCACATTGCCCCTCAGTACTGATCAGAAGGTACTATTCAGATGGAGGTGCAAGGTCCAAGGGGCCTGTGGGTTTCCCCGGACTGTGTCAAATGAAGGATGCCCAACCTAACACTCACTGAATACCTGCCCTTTTCCTCTGTCTTCCTGATTTTAAATCTCAACCTGAGAGAAAGTGAGGTGGTGTTAACAGGTGTCTCAAGGTTACTGTAAACAAATGCATTCCCATTTTGTATGCATTCGTACAGTAAGTGCTCGGAGGCCTGGATTTGGGGAAGATTTATGTTTCATCCCTCAGGTGCTTCAGATTTTCATTCCAGAGGGGAGTAGTCAGCTAGTACTCTAAGAGGGCCAGCAGTGAAATAAAGCAAAAGGAAAATAGTGAGAACATCCAGATTTTTTTAGAACATCATAAAAGGAAAAACGCCCACCTAGAGGCAGAGTAATAGAAACTTTAGTGTGGTTTAGTATGGCATGTATTTCATTACTCTGCTTCATACAGTGTGCAGTGGGAGAGTTACTTCAGATTATTAGTTATAGCAGATAATAGGCGAAGGCCTTGGTCTCCCCTGCTTTGGGATTAGAATGTTATAAGGGGAATTAAGATGCAATGCACTCAAGTATCTAAAACACAATTTTAGACTTAAAAGGAGTTTTAAATGAGGGCACTTGGCTTGCAATCACTGTTTAAGTGGATTTAGTTCAATATCAATTAGTCTGACAAACTTTGCTGCATCATTGAAGGGAGCAAAATGAAATAAAGACCAACAGCATAAGTACGTGCTCGGAAAACAGACGGGATTGTGCAATGTGGGTTTCAGGCATTATCAAGAACTAGCTCACAGAAATGCCTCCCTGGGAAGAGCTTGAATTAGCTTCAATTTTGACACATCATGTAACCTTAAAGTGGGTTGGGGGTCGGGGTGGCTCACAGACCTACCTGGCTTTGGGACACAGTGAGTGGACCCAGATGAGTAGAATCTGAAAAGCACTGGCTTTTCAGAAGGAGGTTAAGACGTGTTTGCATTGTTTCAGTACTGGTGGAGATGTCTTCCCTCTGCAGTTTCCTATATGAACTATTGATTCAAGGAAATTGATACTCTTAATTCAGAATCATTTCTCCTGGCATTCAGGGGTACAAACTGACATATCAGTTTGAACATATCACTTAGGACAGCCTGTGCAGCCCACAGTGAGCTTGTCCATCTTCAAGAAAAGGGTGGCTCCATCAGAAGTACATGTGGAGTCATTTTACCCTTCCATAAATATGTCATTGTTTTAGACGAGACCATTAAATTGTCCTTTGGAACTGCCACTTCTAGAACAACCTAATGAAGCAAGGATTGTGAATATTTTCTCATTTTCTCGAACTATTAAAAATCTAAAAGTACTAATTGAGTTTTAATGGTATAAAATCCTGGAACTCATAAAGACTTGCTTCTTTTTCTTTCTTTTTCTCTTTTTTTTTCTTTTTCTAATTAACTTGTAATTTTCTGGGCATCTTCCTAGCTCAGCACCCCTCCTGTTTTTGATATGCATTAAAATCTTCAACCATTCAGGGCTTCTATCTGATTTAACAATTAATAATTAGAAAAGCTCCCGTTCTAAATGTCCTCATCTGGGACATCATTTGTTGGCTGATTGATTCTGAACTACTTTTAACTTTTTAAGTTAAACATTCATGGCACATCTGTGTGATCATTCCATCATGGCTTCTTGACTAATAGCATCAAACTGAGATTACCCGGCTTGCTAATGTTGATGTCTTTCTATGGGAAGGGAATTTGAGTATATCATTTGCCTCCTACTAAACTCTTGTTTTCCCTCTCCATCTCTGGCCACAGCTCTTCCATTCCTATCCTCCTGCAGTATCGGGCATCCCCCCTATGATTCCACCCACTGGCCCCTTTGGTTCACTACAAGGAGCATTTCAGCCCAAGGTAAGAAACTTTACAGTAAACACACAGGCATACTTAGGAGGGACCTCAGGCTAGACTTGCAGGGGGTGGTTCTGCATCTTCCGCCTGCCAGTGGCTGATCTTTCAGATTGAAAGTGACCACCATTGGGATTAGTCTGGATAAGTTTTTTTCTAGTCCCATATCATTTTAAGTCTCAGCGATAAGTTGTGTAAATATATATATATACATACATATATATATAATCTTCCAACCAATAGTGTAGACTAAGCTTCTGGTCCAGAGTTGTATGAAATGTCATATTTGCACAACAAGTTGTCCCGGAGGCCAGTATTGTTAGCGGAGAGGCAGACTGCACACTGTTGATTTGAACAGAAGGTGGGGAAAGGTACCGGATTGAAAGTGTGACAAGGGGAGACTGTGCGGGTCATTCTCCCCTTCTGCTCCGCATCCCCATCTGCCTGCCCTCTACTCTGCTTCGGGGGCAGGTGGTGTCCTCTCGTGGCACCTTCTCCATCTTCCAAGGTCAAGACGCATGTCATTAGTAACTAACATCCTAGAGTGAAATTAACCTTTTCCCCATTACAGTAACTATGTTCTCTTCTAGGCAGTCAGCTTTCACTCAGCTTTGTACCTCTGAGGGCCAGTATTGAGGAGTAATTCTCAAAACACTGCCTTGTGGCTTTAGATTTACTGCAACCCCTATTTCATTTTCATTTCTTAAAAAAAAATAAAAATGTATTTTTCCTCTTAGTTAAACTGCTCTCACCATTTAAAGTAGGAAATCTTCAGCTTTCTTTCTTTCTTTCTTTCTTTCTTTCTTTCTTTCTTTCCTTCCTTCCTTCTTTTTTTTTCTTTCTTTCTTTTGGTTTCATCTTATTTCTAAAAGACAATGCCAATTTGGGGTCAGTGTCCTGGCTCCCAGGATCCAAACATACTACACTTCCAAAGGCATCTCCCCTTAAAACCAGAAACAGGAAAAGAAATGAAAAACCATTAGGGGTGGTAGATGCCACAGTAACACATTCAGCCCGTTGGATCGCAGCTTCTGTGCCAACTTGGAGGGGTGGCTTTCACAGGGCCCTGGTAAATGCTTGATCTTGTAATAATAGGGTGGAGATTTTGATCTCCTTAGCCCCGTCTGTTCTTTACTCCTCCCTCAGACCCTGCTATGTCCCCTCTAGGTTACAGCAAATCCCTAGTGCATCCCAAACAGACTGGTAGGTCATTTAATAAATTAGGCTATTTCCCTCACTCACAATTATCCAATCACACAGAAAACTACATCTGGGCAAGAAAGTGTCTCTCCTGGTGTTGAAATAGGCCTTTCCAGGCCATCGTACTGATTGAATATGTAGATTGCAGTTCATTAGTGGAGTTCTTCATATGTATGCAAATCAGGGTGTTAACAACTCCAGCTTAATTGTTAGTTGTACAGCCGCTGATTGCTTTTCTTTCTTTCATACCCCCCCCACCCCCTCACCACCCCCCCCCCCCACCCCTGCCTTTTATTCCTTCTCTTTTTAGGCAAGCTCTGTGCCTAAACTTGAGTTCTTTTTCCACACGAATTAACCACCTGGTGTGATTTTTTTTTTAAATAAAATACCTGGTGAAATAATTCCTGATTCCTCACCCCACTAGAAAACAGGCACTATCTGTGCTGCTCTGGGCTTTTGTTGTCACCGTGGTTAATTCAGAGGAAAGCCTGCAGATAAGGTCATTGTTATTAACGGCATGAGGAAGGGTGGTGGGAACCGGCAAGCTGAAACAGAATTACTGCAGAAATCATCTAATAGCAGATCTGTGTGGTCCCTAAATTAGGTTCTCTTGTCCCATTTCCACCACTGCTAATGAGTAATTACTGAGTGTAATTCCTTGTTATTGTCTGCCAGTTAAAATTTAGAGCGTTAGCTTAATGTCTGTGAAACACTTTTGGTGATTCTGATGAGAAGCACCTGATACAGCAGATTATAATGATGTTCGCTTAAGCCTTCCTTGGAATGTTTGGTGATAAAGCAAAAACACAGTGACAGGCAGAGCTGCTGGCAGCTGGAAGAAACGGGATCTCGGAGCAGCCTGAGATTCTGGTCCAGTGAAATGGGGTGAGACCTGCCTCTCTGCCTCAGGTGCCAGGGCAGCCTCTGGCGAGGTCCCAGGAGAAAACTGCTCCTCCTCGGCACTGTGTGATCGCTGAGAAAAAAAATGCATCCCAGAGTGAAACCAAACCAAAGACAAGTCGTTTAGAGTGAGCTAGCCTGGGTGCCACGCAGGTGCACAGTTCCTAAACTCGCATCTCGTTTCCTTGCAGACATCCAACCCTATCGACGTGGCCGCTCGACCCGGGACAGTCCCACACACTCTGCTCCAGAAGGACCCGCGGGTGCGTGCTAAGCGGGCATGGTCTCCGCCTGTGGTGTCAGGGTGTGCTCAGGTGGGCTTGTGGGGGTGGGCAGCCAACCCGGAGCGCAGGCTTTGCCTTAGCTCGTCCAAGTGGCCTCTCCCTAAGCGAATCCAAAAAGTTTAGCCCCTCCTTTGTTGATGACAGAAAATGCCGCTTGCTCTTCATCAACGAGGTCGTTCCTGCTCTGCTGCGGCCATGGGTGCCAGGATGAGTGGCCGAGGGGCCAGGCAGGGGTGGCCTGCACCACTGCTCTCCTCTCTCCAGATCTCTTTCACTTTTTCTCATCGGAAATAAATAGCTGCTGCTGAGTGTTTTGAATGGAAGAGCAGTAGGCGCTTTTCTTGCTGAGAGACAGGACACGATACACCCCCGTCCTGACATTGGCCCCGCACAACCATTCTTTTTTTTTTTTGCTTTTTGGGTCACACCCAGCGATACACAGGGGTTACTCCTGGCTCTGCACTAAGGAATTACTCCTGGTGGTGCTCAAGGAACCATATGGGATGCTGGGACTTGAACCTGGGTCGGCCACATGCAAGGCAAATGCCCTGCCCACTGTACTGTCACTCCAGCCCCCATGCAGCCATTCTGACCACATCTTCATTCGCTGCGCTAACGTAGCCTTCTGTGCTCTGCGGCCCAATAAAATCCCCATTGTGCTTTGGTTATGTATTTATGTATGATTTATAACCCCACCTATTTCAAAGTAGAATTTGGAGTTGTGCTATAAATATAATCTTGTCTCATTGATGATTCTTTACCTTCCTAGTAAATCTGGGGGATGCAGTGGCCTTTCATGGTAGCTTTTTCCCTGGGGAAGATGGGTGGGCAGTCACAAAGGGATGACCAGAGTTGACCATAGTTTAAAAAGACGCGCTCAAAAGTATGCTTATGAGACTTCCTGACTAGTTTTAAAAGTCTTCAGCTACCACTCAGCCAGTTATATCCTCTCAGGGAGAGTTGGGTGGAGAGAGCCTCTGTGTTCGTTTCTGTTTATTTTTTATTTGGGGGCAATACCGGCAGTGCTCAGAGCTTACACCTGGCTCTGCACTCAGGAATCACTCCTGGCAGTGCTCAGGGGACCATATGGGATGCTGGGAATCAAACCCAGGTCTGCTGCTTGCAGGCAGCCCCCCTCCCCTCTGTACTGTCAGCACCAGGAGCCTCCATTGGGAAGAGAGAGCCCTGGGCCTTGGGTCATCACTCTGGTGGCCTGAGGACCTTCCCCCCCTGACACAGACAACTTGGCTTTTTGCAAAGACTGTTTGCCACAGGGCAACTCCTCCAGTGGGTAATGTGAGTGAATCCTGTTGCCAGAAGGCAAATTAAACTTGTACAGGGACTTGTCACTGTAGATGTCCCCTAGGCTTGTGATGTGGGGGAAGGGACACTTGGCACTTTTGATAGTGTGAAAATGGGTTAATTATTCTCTAAAAGGGCTTCATTTAAAAGTAAAATTCTAACATTTTAATTTCCCCTCCTAATGAAGCACTACAAATTTGTTAATTAGAGCAATTGTCTGAGTGACAGGCATGTAACCAAGTTGTCATTTTCTCTTCACAGTTGACAGATCCTTTCAGACCTATGTTAAGGGTAAGAAAGCTTCTTCTCGAACTGTTTTGCAACCTCTGTTTGACTCCCTGTGGGTTAAAAATACAAATCCATTACAAGGAAACAAGCCATAGAGACACTGAGATAAAATGTCAGGATGGCGGTGGTGGGGTTTTTGAGGGAGTGATTGAAAGTGGCCTAAACTGGTTTGCTTTGAGTGTTAGAAGAAGCAGAGCCATTGTGGTAAAGCTCACAGACGAATATCGGCCAAGTCTCTCTCTGGTTCACAATCCCCGGGAAAGGTGTGGCGAGTGGGAGCTTATGAACAAAGGCCTACAGGCCTACACCATGGAGAAGAAGGTCCCTTGCACCTACCAAATCTTTATCTGGGTCTCTTTATTTAGGCCAGTGGCCTTTCTTTGCACTGAACACCATTAACTTTTTTTGTTTGTCTTGTTTTGAGGGCTACACCCAGTGGTGTTCAGGGCTCACACCAGGCTGTGTACTCAGAGATCAACCCTGGAGGAACTCAAGACCATATGGGGTGCTGGGGATTGAACCCTGTGCAGGGCAAGCACCTCACCCCTTATATTATCTCTCTGGCCAAAGTGCTGTTGACTTGTCAAAGCCCTTGGACCTTTTCTCTGTCAGAGAGAGCTGCTCTAAGCATTGCTTTGTTTAACCTCCTGAGAGGTTCTGGAGATGGGCCAGCAGATGACCGCTGGGTAAATGCTGGCTCACATAGGCGGGGTTGAGGGGGATGATGGATGGTTGGAGAGAAGATGAATGGGTAATAGATTTTCTGCTCGACTGAACCCACTTCGGGTACATATAATCTAATCACTTCATTTCGCTAAAGAGATGAAAAGGAGGCCTGTGTCATCACTTAGGTGATTGCAAACGACTCCTAATTTTATTAGGAGGAAAAAGAACTGACCCCGAGTCAGATGTCAGTCTGTATCTTCGAACAGTTGCTTCAAAACCAGAAGCTTTTCTCCTGCCGCAGTGTGGACAGGCAGCATCTCTCTCTCTCATCTGCCCGTCCTTACTGAGTGTACATTTGGACCACAGGCACAGCTGACTTAGCAGGAATACAAATGAAGTGGGAAGCAGTAGGTGGTCCCTGCTGGGTTGGCGCAAGACAGTTGCAGCTAATGCAGCAGGACTTGAAGCCTCAGAGAGCCTGGGGTGACCTGGGGTGAGAGGTTCCCAGGGGCTGGGGGAGGGACTTGATAGCTACAGAGGCCTGGAAAGGAAGGAACCAGTTCTTGCCTTTGCTTCCTCTGCTTTCACTTAAGGAAATGAACAATCCCCACCAACACACACACACACACACACACACACACACACACACACACACCACACACACACACACACACCACTCTGACCTGAATGGGCAGTTGAGCGGGTCTCAATAACAAGGTGGAAAATTTGTCCTGCGTTGGAGGTTAAAACACTGTCACTGTCACTGTCCTCCCATTGTTCACCGATTTGCTCGAGCAGGCCCAGTAACATTGTGAGACTTGTTACTGTGTTTGGCATATCGAATACGTCACGGGTAGCTTGCCAAGCTTTGCTGTGTGGGCGAGATACTCTCGGTAGCTTGCTGGGCTCTCTGAGAGGGTTAAACAAACCAACAAAAAAGGAAGATAGTCGGGGGAGGTTATGACAGGTCACACACACACAACACACACACACACACACACACACACCTCCGACCTGAATGGGCAGTTGACTCTGAGCGACGCGGGTCTCAGTAAAAAGGTGGAAAATTGATCCTGCTTTGGAGGTTAAAACAAACCAACAAAAAAGGGAGATAGTCAGGGGAGGTTATGACAGGTCCCGTACCCTCGTTGGAGTTGATTCACAGACATTCACTAATTAGCTCCTCCATGCAGCCTATTTGCATGCTAGCACGGCCGCCTTTGTTAAGTAGGGCTCCCTGCTCGCTGCTCTGCCAGCTGGCACCCAGCGAGAAGGAGAGAGGAGACGCAGAGCAGGCCCCGGGCTTTGCCATCTTGTCCTTGGTAACCGGGGAGGTCCACGCTGAAAGCAGTTTGGAGCCACAGCCCCTGGCTTGGCTGTGGTGGGAGGCGAGGGAGCTGGCTAGGGCTCCCTGGGGCCCGCGCCCAGAGAGCTGCTGAGAGCCAGCAGTGGAGCATACAAAGCAGTCTTGTTCCATGGAGGAAATAAAAAAGCCTCCGCTGCCCAAATCTGATGGGAGCCTTGGGGGCAATGGAAGGTGGTTTTCTCTGGAAGGTCCTTTTTTCTGACCATACTTCTCTTTCTTGTTGCAGAAGCCGGGGAAGTGGTGCGCTATGCACGTGCACATCGCCTGGCAGATCTACCACCACCAACAGAAAGTCAAGGTCAGTCTGGCCCTCACAGGAAGCCGGGGCCCTCCAGGTCTGTGCCACTCAGCGAAGGAACGGTGGGAAGAGCCACCAAGCAGACGAGATGGGGTCCCTTTGCATAAAGCTCTTTGGAAATCTTGCCGTCAGTTAGGGAAAGTAACCAGCCATAATGTAGCACATGGACAATTGTCCCCTGTGTTTTCTTCTTCTTCTTTTTTTTTTTAAAGTGTTTTCTTGTGTTATTGATCTAAAGAGTTTAAATGTAGATTAAGTCCTAAAATATAGATTTTGGGGATCAAAATATTAGTGTGGAAACTGGTAGTTGGGAAGATCTCTCCATAAATGGTTTCTGTAGGAATTCATGTTTTCTTTCCCATTTTATAACTTTTAGAACTTGAGAAGAGTATTGGCTACCCAATCTGACGCTACTGAATTCCCACTGGCAGTGCATATTATTCAGAAAAATAGCTCTTCACTTGCCTTGAATGCAGCCAATCTGACTTCAGTCCCTAAGCACCTACAGGAGTGATCCTGAGCAGAGAGTCAGGAGTAAGCCCTGAGCACCACCAAGTGTGGCCCAAAAACCAAAAATTCAAAAATAAGTTGAAAACAACTCTTCTAGAGTTCGTGCTTAGTTCTCAGTGTTGCAGTCCAAGTGACCAGTGGCAAAGGTTAAAATATGGCCAGCACTGACCAGGTCATTCTCTAGTCTTAGATTGTTTTTACACCTTCCCTCTTGCAGAAGCCTGTGTGTGAGCTATACTGGTACTCTCGTGCACAGTAGGGCAGAGTTAGAAACTCCAGTGAGGGACCAGATGTGGATATCCATGCTTGGCTTAGGAAGAAAGGACAGGTGTACTTGGGGATAGAGCAGCATCAGTGCCACACCATTTCAGTAAAGCTAGCCACACAGACTTAACCTTCACTGAATGTGACACAGAGACAGGCGGTGAGCCTGGGGAGATGGGAGCCAGTGGACTGGCTTGGTACAAGATGGTCATGAATGGTCCATTTGTAAACAGTGAGCAGTGGAGCAAAGTGTGCCTCTTACTAGACAGACCGGTCTGGATGCTGCACTCTGATCATGTCCACTTTGGATAATGGTGCTTAGAGAATTGGGAGAAAACAATACCAAGCACTTCAGTAAGCTTTGATTAATCCCCCTTTTGGGCCTAGCAGCATCTGAGAGTAACAGAAAATTAATAAAAGATATGAGAAGACAAGGAGGGAGAGGTAGGCTTCACAGAATCTTTTAAAATGGTGACCAGGGGCACAAGGCCCCTAAATTCAGGCCCTGGCTATACATGGACCCCAAGCACTGCTGGGGTGACCCTCATGCCTCCCGAAAGCACGGGACCCCAAATACTGAACTATCAGGCCTGTACCACAGGCTGAGCATTGATTGCCAAGCGGGTTAAGTAACTAAAAATAATGTGACCTCATTAAGAGTTAAAAAGCCTGACCTCCATCAGTGAAGTCACTGAGACATTTTTATTTAGGTGCCAAATACATGCATTTCCCCAGAACATGCCGTCAGTGAGTTTTGCTCACTCTTCCTGTACTGATAGGCGAGGTTTAATTAGATGCCTTACGGTTTAGCTTAGTTAGGAAACGTGGGCCCTTTGAAGAGCTAACTAGATTTTGATGCTTCGTTCAACTCACTCTTTGTTCTGGATGATGTGGTTAGCGGAACAGTAGGTAAAACACCTCCTTGTGAGTCCTTTGGTTAAAAGCGATGAAGGATGTTGCATGTGCTACTTTAGCAACTTCCTTTCCACGAACGTGTCCCTGGTGACTAAAACTTTCATTATCCCCATTCAATTAGAAGGACCTCTTGCCCGTGAGATAGCTGTTCATCTTCCCTTCCCAGCAAACTCAGTCTAATCCCCAAGCTCCATTTTGCTTCATGGACTAAGTTGTGTTTAATGGAACTGTGCTGTGGACCATGCAGTATTAGCACTAAATAATCTGGCAACCAAATTAACAGAGGCACTCAAAAGATTTTTCTAGATGTATAGTAAATGAGAACCTTTGTTTGGGGGGTTGGTGGTGGCTTTATGGTGGGGCTCTCATGATAGCATTCCCCATAGATTAGAGCAGAAATTACATTGTCCCCTTCTCTTTAGCATTCATTTACGCATTCTTTTAGTCCCTGGCAGAGTATTTCTCCAGGGAGCCAACCGCCTGCAGGTTACTTACAGTAATGGGCTCCCAGGGCCCTAGGGTCCCGTTGCTTAGAGTTCAGTAGTGAGGATCAGCGTGCGCATCAAAAGTGGTACAAATGTCCGCCTCCTCGGGGTCTGGGTGCCAGCTTGCAGCCAGAGTGCCCCAGCTCGCCTTTGCTCTAAATGCCTGTGATGGATGAGAGGGAGCCTGACCTTCCACAGACAGGGATGCTCACTCCGTCCTGGCGTTTGCTCCATCTGGTGCCTCCTCTGGACGTTGCCTGCTGCCCTCCAAGCCAGGATTTATTTATAGCAGAATGGGAGTATGTTTGAGGCAGAGCAAGTAGGAAACCATGGACCTGGATGAAGTGTGAGAGACCCTGGAAGGGCAAATCTGGAAGAAGAAGAAGGACCTGGAATGATCCCTCAGGAGACTGGAGAGTGGGGGAAGGAAAGAGAAGGAAGCCCAGGTCCTCGGGGTGGTGTGAAAACCCCCAGAGAAGGCTGTTGATCATCAAGCAGCCGGGCAACCATAAAGCCAGGCTCTTTGAAAGAAAGGTCGGGCAACAGCTGCCTCAGTCAAAGGAAGCAAAGCAAGAATGCCACAGCTGCTCTTTGTGTGTGTGTGTTTTACCTGCTAGTACTCAAGGCTACCTCGTGACTCTGCACTCAGAGATCACTCCTGGCAGGCTTGGGAGATTATATGGGATGCCGGGGATCCAACCTGAGTTGGCCACTTGCAAAGGCCCTACCCATTATACTGTCTCTCTGGCCCCTCACAGCCCTTCTTTCTATATGGCTTATTGGCCTGGTCTGTTCTCTCCTCTTCCTCAAGCAACTGGGGGTACTAGAGAAACAAAAGAGTCCACTGAGCCAAATTAATCTCCGCTTTGTTTGCTGTTTTAGAAATCTCCAGCAATGATCACTGGGACATTAGTGGTAGACATACAAATTCTTCATAACTTTAGCAGCTAATGTTCTGTGATCTGTTGGAGTATGTGGCAGTCATGAAACAGTAAATTTACAAGTAGATTATTCATGCAGAATGCCTATTAAAATGAGCTTTAAAATGCTGTCGTTTAAAAGCCTCACTAAAATGGACTTTTATAGTGATTATTATATAGGGGTACTGGTTGGAATTAGTAAGCTAGGCTTTTCTTCCTCGTGTCCTAGAACTCAGCACAAACACGGGCACAAGCTTGGCTGCTCAGCTGTCCAAGAAACAGTGCTCTTCAGCTGGCCTGCTCTCTGGCATTTGAGGGATACATGGTTTGTGGGGGGCTGTTCTCGAGACATTTCAAAACCAGAAGCCCAGGACCCAGGTGCATTGACAGGTGTTTCTGTCCACCTCGACCTCATGATGAATATCTTCCTTCCCAACCTTTTCTCTTGGGGTTTCATCTCTTCTCTCCCTCTCTCCACCCCGCTGGCTGTTTTAGAAACAGATGCAGTCAGACCCACATAAGCTGGACTTCGGACTGAAGCCCGAGTTTCTGAGCCGCCCCCCAGGCCCCAGCCTCTTCGGAGCTATCCACCACCCCCATGACCTGGCACGGCCTTCCACTTTGTTCTCTGCTGCTGGTGAGTGCACGGAAGCCGGAGGGGGGCTGAGCACTGCGGTTCTCGGGTATGTAAATAAATGATGTTTGTGCTGTCTGCCCCTGCGCCCTTGCTCCTGAAAAGTGCCGTTGATGCCAGCTCGCGGGTACAGGAGCTGGACCTCTCTCCATTGATAGCCCTCTTTCATTCAGGAAGTGGGGAAGGATCCTCTTTCCCTTGGGGCACTCAGGTTACTGCAGTTCATTATTTACTTCTATATTAAACCAGTATAACTCACAAGCGTATCATACGCTATTGAAAAAAAGATCAGAATGCCTGCAAGGGTGTATCAGAAGGAAACAGTGCCGGTAATCGGAGAAGAATGCAGTTACTCTGGCTGCTGGTGCCCACCAAGCACTTAGGAGCCCCACCCGGAGCTGCTCCTCTCATTGGACTTTTAAGGGTCTGAAGATAAGAACACAATTAGAGATCATTGTCAGGTGTGTGATTGGGAGGGTGAAGCCATTGGTTAATGGTTTTCTCTTTGCCAACATTTAACATCATTACCTGGTTGATTGTAGCAGTCAGAAAATGTAAGGGTCACGACATGAAATAGCTGAGAGTTGGGAGCATTGGCCTCTGGGAGTGCTCTCACTGCCCTCCTCACTGTGCACAAGGGAGGGTCGGCTTGACAGCTGTCAGTCTGCTTCTGCCCAGACCTCCAGCAGAAGACCACAGCTGCAAGGAATATTAGGTAGATAAGAACAGTTTTTGTGGTTTCCAGTCCTTTTTATTTATTTTTTTTTTGGTTCAGGTTTTTAGGTTGCACCTGGCAGTGCTCAGGGGTTACTCCTGACTCTGCACTCAGGTATTACTCCTGGCAGTGCTCAGGGGACCATGTGGGATGCTAGGGATTGAACCCAGGTCAGCCATGTGCAAGGCAAATGTCCAACCCTCTGTACTATCACTCCGGTCCCACCAGTCTTTCTTCTCATTCTGTCTTAAGTTGGTTTGGGTGGACAGCGTCTGGCACAGAACCCCTCCCAGTAACACTTGTAATCATTGACACATGCTCACTTGACTGACAAGCTCCATAACTTCATACCCCCAGCACTAAGGAGAATTTTCTCTCTGGACTTGAGTATTCGAGGGGTCAGCCCTGGGGGAACAAGTTTCACATTCATCCTGACGCTGCCTTCCTGGGCTTTTATCCAAGCCCCATTTCTGGTGGACTAAGGCGCTTCCATCCAGGAAGAAGGAAACTCCCACAGGGCAAGAAATCATTGTTATAATGGGCCTTGTTGCCCCAGCAAGTGAGTTACCCTTGAGTGTAGATGGCATTTGCTCAGGTCTCGAGTTTTCCTGTCATTTCTATCTGGGGACACATTGGAAGGCTTTGTTTCCATGGCACCTAGACTCTGAGGCAGGGCTACATTAGGAACAACTTTTGGAGAGAAATAGAGATTTCTCCCAGGCTTCCTTTTGAGCCAAATGGATGAATTGGCTTCTTTTGCTTCAATAATTCTGGAACTGCAAGACGCCCCCAGGGGCCTGGGCCGAGCGAAGCTCCGATCTTCATGAAGCATTAATTAGCTTGTACTACACAGACAGTGTGCGGCCACATTTTTATTTAGCTGGCAGCGCTGTTAACAGCTAATGGATATGCAGGGCTCGCCACGCTCTCTGGATCAAGGCCATGGGTCCTGCACTCCGGGGATAAATCCCCATCTAGGAAGGAGGAGACACCCTTCCCAGCCATGCGGTTTCCTACCTGTTTCTAAACCACAGACAGAGCCAGTGGGAGCCCGGGGGCGGGAGGGCTCCTCTCTTCAGCCTGATTCCTGAGGACACCTGTACATCTGTACTGGAACGGAAGTAATGCGAGGGATTGTGGAAGTGGTGCAGTAACTCCAGCTCTCTACTTCCATTCTAGAAGGCTGTCTCTCCTTAGAGTTAGATATTAGTGGGCAAAATCTGCTGCTGTGCAGTTGTTTGTTAGGTTTAGCAACTCGCCTCCTGCAGTGCCCCCTCGGCTGCCTGCTCTGTGTTAGCAAGCCAGCACCCAAACTTTCCCAAACACCGCCCCTCCTTGACTGAATATACCCATCCTCCTTCCTTCCTTTGCCAGCTCCTTTTTCTTTTTTCTCTTTCTCTCTCTGGTTTTTTTTTTCTTTTTGGGTCACGCCTGGTGATTGGCGATGCTTAGGGGTTACTCCTGGCTTTGCACTCAGGAATTTCTCCTGGCAGTGCTTCGGAGGACCATATGGGATGCTGGGAATCGAACATGGGTCAGCCACATGCAAGGCACTGTGCTATCGCTCTAGCCCCAACCCGCTCCTTTTTTTAAAAGGAGGAAAAAAGAGAAGGGGTGAACTTGAAGCATCTGAATAAAATACACTTTTTTGAGGATGGAGGCATGTGACTGAGCGGTAAACCCAAGGAGTCCCGAGTTCCTGGGCAGGCAAAGTGAAGGCAGAAAGCAGTGGTTGAGCTTGTTTCTGTGGCCCTGGGGGATGAGTTCAGTCCATTACCCGGGGCGGTGAGCCATCCCTGGGCTGGGATCACCAGCTCCTTCAGGGAGGAGAAAGTGTCTGTCACCAGGTTGCCAGCTCAGACAGAGCCTGGGCGAGCCCCACATTGGAGCTGTGGTTCCAGGAATCCCATGTGGGCCACAAACCCAGGTGCTGCCAGCCGCGTGGCTTAATTTGTGGTACTTACCCTAACAGCATCTTAAAAGCCTCTCTGTGTCTTCGGGGGTGATGGCCAGCCCAATTTGCAAAGAGGAAAGTGAGGGGTGGGGGGTGGATCTGGTGGTGTCTGCTTGCAGTAAAACCATTCCTTTGGACCCCCGACCCAGGGCATAGCCGTGATATTCCAGGGACTCACTCCTGGACCTTGAGGTGACAAGGAGCCGCTTGCTTGGAGGAAGTCATTTTCCCACGGCATCTAATTCTTCACGTTTGGCTTCACAGGTGCTACACACCCAACTGCGACGCCTTTTGGGCCGCCTCCTCATCACAGCAACTTCCTGAACCCTGCTGCTCACCTCGGTGAGTTGCCCTCTGGCCACTCTGCCATGGCTTTCAGGAGACTCCCTGCTTCCCCCCCTCACTGTGTGCTCGATCTGCTGGTGGACCAGGGTCTTCGCCACCAGCCTCCTGGCCCAGTCAGGCTTCTCTGGGACTGTTGCATGCACATCCTCTGTCTCCAGGATTTCAGCATCTCTTACACTGAATCCTCGGGGTCTGGGTTCAAGAGTGGGCGGGTGTGAAGTTACCAGTGATGCGGAGGACAGAGGCCACAGTTTTGAGAGCTGCTTCCTTCTGGGCAGTGGGCAACCTCCAGGAGGTGGAGAGAAAGGCAGATGAGGTTATGAGGACACCTTCCCCCATACCCCATTGGTTTCTCTTCATTGCCCCATTTTGGATCTCTCAAGCCCAGGGGCAGGGCCAACGTGCAGCATGTGTGTGGCATTTTCTGCAAGGCTGGGACAGGCAGGCTGCCACCTTTGGAGACCTCAGATGCTCCTTTTCCTGTGGGGGTCCCGACAGAACATTCCCATAGCCGGGAGACAGGGAGCTAAGGCCTCTTCCTCAGAACACTGGAGCTCAAAGTAATGTTTGCCAACTGGCAAAAGAGGGGTGGGGCAAAGTGCCCCATTCTGAGAAACAGCTCTTGGGGAGGGTCCCCTCACCCAGTATCCCAGCGTCATACAGTGAAAACTTTTTTTCCGGTAGGTTCTAGGCCCCAAGGCCTGAGTACTGAGGAGACCCAGCATCCCACAACCACTTCCTTTTTTAAAAAATTTTTTTGGTTCTTGGGTTACACCCGGCCATGCACAGAGGTTACTCCTGGCTCTGCACTCAGGAATTACTCCTGGCAGTGTTCTGGGGACCATGGGGATGCTGGAAATCGAACCCGGGTCGGCCGCATGCAAGGCAAACTCCCTACCCGCTTTGCTATTGCTCCAAGCACTGACCACTTCCTTCTTCCTGTTCCTGTTTGCAGAACCTTTTAATCGGCCTTCTACCTTCACGGGCCTCGCAGCAGTCGGTGGGAATGCCTTCGGGGGACTCGGAAATCCTTCAGTTAGTGAGTACCCCTAAATTCTTAAAATTCTGCCTGGGAATGTTTACCACCTCTCATCTAGCTATTTTAGTGTTTGGAAACCAATTAGATTTTCTCTAGCAAAAGTAAGTCTGAAGAGTAGAATGGTCCCCAAACCCATCCTCAGAGGGTCAGTAAAGGGAAGTCTAGCCGACTGGACACCACTCTTTTAAGTTTGCTGAAGTTTCATGGTTTGATCTATTTTCCAGTTCTCCATCCAAGACTATAGCTACCTTAGATGTGAAAAACATTTAAGTTTCATTTTGCCTTTGCGATTGAAAAGCACTCCCAACTTCTTGCTTTGAGGGTGGGGGTCCCTCCTCCTCCTCGTCCTCCTCCTCCTCCTCCTCCTCTTTCCTCCTCCTCCTCCTCCTCCTCCTCCTCCTCCTCCTCTTTCCTCCTCCTCCTCCTCCTCCTCCTCCTCCTCCTCCTCCTCTTCCCTCCTCCTCCTCCTCCTCCTCCTCCTCCTCCTCCTTTTCTTCCTCCTCACCATACTCATGGGCTCACTAAAGACTAGCCAGGCTCATGGAGTCCGAGATGACAGCCCTTCACAAACTGCTGCCCTCAGCTTGTGGGGTCACTTGCCTCTGATGTTCGAAACAGGAGGGCCCATTCAGTTTCCCTCCTAACTCTACCCAGCACTGTGAGCTGGAGGCCTTGTCTGCTCTCTGGCTTTAGTTGGCTCTGGTGGGTTAGCAGGGGTGCGGGCAGGACGAGGCTGCTGCGGAACTGGAGCAGTGATCGAGAGTACCAGCCTTCCCCCTCTGCATGCCCGGGACTTTTTGCATGCCCCAGATATGTTGGAGCGGGTCAGTGTGGCCTGCTGGGGGGCCCTCACTGGCTTAATCTCCCCGCTCCCCCTCTGCTTTTGGTGTTTAAACAAAAAACAAAAACAAAAACAAAAAAACAGAACAGCTGCGAGCTGCCTCTCCGGCGGCGGATGAGAGTCCCGCTAATGAATGTGTTAATCTCCTTTCCTTTTCCAGCTCCCAATAATATGTATTCATTTTAACTCTGAATGCTGTTAAACGTTTTTTGGTAAGTACCTTCATTACAGCAGATTATATAATTTCTCTTAAACCTTTTTGTTCTCCACTTCACCATTTCAGCACCCAACTCAATGTTCGGCCACAAGGATGGCCCCAGTGTGCAGAACTTTAGCAACCCTCACGAACCCTGGAACCGGCTGCACCGAACGCCTCCGTCGTTCCCGACCCCTCCGCCCTGGCTGAAGCCGGGGGAGTTGGAGCGTAGCGCGTCCGCTGCAGCTCATGACAGAGATAGAGATGTAGATAAACGAGACTCATCTCTTAGTAAAGATGACAAAGAAAGGTACGGAAAGAAAGCGCTCTCGAGTCCCCTTGGGGGAGCCCCCTCGGGCCACAGCCTGGCCATGTACCCGTCCTGCCCCAGCCCGTGCTCAGCTGACCGCGAGCCTCAGTTCTCACACAGCCAGTGCCCTGCACCCCCCTGGCCCCCAGCCCCAGAGTGCACACCCGCCTGCCCCCTAGCTCCTCATGACCTGAGAGGGTCACCCCAGCACAGCGAGTCACCTGACACAGAAGCAGTCACACATGCAGAAAGAAGCTTCGCCTGTCCCCGAGAGCCGAAGACCCTTCTCGGCGAGGAAAGAGTGGGCTGGTGCCCGACCACACACACACAGCATGACTCAATCCCATATTTGCTTTCAAGTTCGTGCAGTCCATTAACTCATCCATAGGTTTCTCTCGCTCTCTTTCTCTTTCTTTGTGTTTGCTTTAGAAAGTCATGTTTGCATTGTCTCATTTTTTTTCTCCAGTTTTTATTTTTGTCAAATTCAAATTTGGGGCTCACCGATAATGAATAAATTTTTGTTGGCTTAGAGAAATGTGAACAAGTATTTTTGGTTTGGGGTCTGTTTTACTACTCGATGATTAGCTTTCTAGCCACGCGTTATTGCCTTACTTGGGAACCCATGCCTTAAAAAGAAGTAATCCCTAAGAGAAAAAAAATAGTATTTTTATCTCACAGTATTTTTTTTCTAAAGAACATTATAAGCATTTTTATAAGACGTCATGTCTTTTATTTTTCCTGTAGGCTGTTTCCCTTTTGAATAAACCAATAAGCATGGAAATACACAAAATCTACTTGACAATAAATACCTAATAACAGTTTCCTTTTGGCACTTGAGACCTGAGTAACATCCAAATCTCTTTAGGTTTTTTCAGTGTTGTATTGCGTATTTGTGTACAGTGATTTTTAAAAATTCAACTTCGTAGACGCTGAGTGTGGCAGATGGGTAGGTCTTTACCCTGGGCCATCAGATTAACCTATTTCTCTCTTAGAAAAAAGGACACAGTTTCCTTCCGAGACAGTAAGAGAAAAAGTGTCTTGGCCCCTGGGAGAACAGGCTCTAACTCCAACACTGTGCTCTGAGTGTGGCGGAGAGACCATGCATGCCACGGGCATGCCGCAGGCCAGAACTCCGCTCAGCAAGCCTGACTGGGGCACAGAACCAGGGCCTTGTGGGGAGGCCTAGCCAAAGGTGCCCTGCTTTCTTCTGGCCTTTTAAAAACACCTTCTCTCTCAGCCTCTGCATGTTGGCGAGAAACAGGACTCGAAGGGGTCCCCTCCTATTTCCTCCTCCGGTGCCCCTATGTCTCCTGGTCATTATCCTTGCTGAGTGCGGGTGTGGCCGGCTCACACCCCACCTGCTTCAGGTCTGTTTGAGCTGCCCCTACAACTTCCCTGGGCTCAGTGGACATTTGGCCATTCCTGCTCCTGGTTCTTAAACCCCTATCCAGGCTGGCTCTGTCCTGCTCTGGCTTCGTGGGTCTCCTGAGAGGCTCTTGAGAGCGGCTGGCACTGCGTGTCCGCAGGGGGCGGGTATCTGCCCCGGTCCCTGGCCTGGTCCTCCTCCAGCTTCTCACCAGAGTCTGGCTTGCTTCTTCCTGAGGGTGGAGGCCGTTCTGCGTTAGGGCAAACGTTTGTCCTGTGTGTCGTGCGATGTTTTCTGTGAAGGGCTTCATCCCACTGGCTCTCCGGGGCAAGGCAGGGCAGAGGGGGAGGGTCCTATTGATTCGGAGCTCTTAAAACACATTCTGAACATGAAATGACCCCAGCGACCAGACGGATGACAAGCTGTCTCGTCAAGTCACGAGCTTCAGGGGGCTGTAGGAAAGCTCGCCTGCCCACCCCTCCCCGGGTCTCAGGAGACACGAGGCCCCCCATTAGGAGAGCCTCTTCCCTCAGACTCTCCTGCTCTGTTCATCCCTGTGCCACCACAGCCCGCTTCCTCCAGGGTTGAGGCCAGAGAGGTCAGGACGGCTGGTTTGCAGCCTGGCGGCGGGGCCCACTGCCCCCACTTCTCACCTCCATCTCATCGGCAGCCCCTGGCCAGACCCACAAGTCTATTTCACGTCTGCCTTGTTTTTTTTTTTTCTCCCGTTCTCCCCGCCCCAGGGAAAGCGTCGAGAAAAGACATGCTAGCCACCCTTCACCAGCACCTCTCCTCCCGGTGAGCACCCTGGGGCATCCCCGCGGCTCTGCCGAACAGATCAGGGGTCATTTGAACACTGAGGCTCGCGAGAAGGACAAGTCCAAAGAGAGGGAGCGAGACCACTCGGAATCCCGGAAGGACCCAGCCGCAGCCGACGAGCACAAGGCCAAGGACGGCCACCCGCCGGAGAAGGACGGCCACGGCCACGAGGGCCGTGCCGGGCCCGACGAGGCCAAGCAGCTGGCCCGGGTGCCCTCGCCCTACGTGCGCACCCCCGGAGTGGAGGGCGCGAGGCCCAACAGCACCTCGAGCCGGGAGGCCGAGCCCCGCAAGAGCGAGCCGGCCTATGAGAACCCCAAGAAGAGCTCGGAGGTCAAGGTGAAGGAGGAGCGCAAGGAGGAGCACGACCTGCCCCCCGAGGCGCCGCAGACCCACCGGGCGGCCGATCCGCCGCCCCCCAACTCCTCCAGCAGCGTGCACCCCGGGCCCTTGGCCTCCATGCCCATGACGGTGGGGGTGGCCGGCATCCACCCCATGAACAGCATCAGCAGCCTGGACAGGACTCGCATGATGACCCCGTTCATGGGCATCAGCCCCATTCCCGGCGGAGAGCGGTTCCCGTACCCTTCTTTCCACTGGGACCCCATCCGGGACCCGCTGCGGGACCCTTACCGGGAACTGGACATCCACCGCCGGGACCCGCTGGGCAGGGACTTCCTGCTCAGGAACGACCCTCTCCACCGCCTCTCGACTCCGCGGCTGTACGAAGCCGACCGCTCCTTCAGGGACCGGGAGCCCCACGACTACAACCACCACCACCACCACCACCACCACCCGCTGTCCGTGGACCCGCGGCGGGAGCACGAGCGGGGCGCGCACCTGGACGAGCGCGAGCGGCTGCACATGCTCCGCGAGGACTTCGAGCACACGCGGCTGCACCCGGCGCACCCCGCGTCCCTCGACGGCCACCTGCCCCACCCCAGCCTCCTCACGCCGGGGCTGCCCAGCATGCACTACCCCAGGATCAGCCCCACGGCCGGCCACCAGAACGGACTGCTGAACAAGACGCCGCCCACCGCGGCGCTCAGCGCACCCCCGCCGCTCATCTCCACGCTGGGGGGCCGCCCCGTGTCCCCCCGGAGGACTACGCCTCTGTCGGCCGAGATGCGGGAGCGGCCGCCGTCCCACACGCTCAAGGACATTGAAGCGCGGTAAAGGAGAGCCGCCAGCGGCCACGGGGCACTGGACAGCACCCAGGCCCCCCGCCCCTGGACGCCAGTCCCGAGCAGAGAGCCAGCCGGGGTGGGGGAGGGGCTCCTCCCGCAGCCGCACAGCCTGGGGGCCCCTGAGACACCCCCCCCCAAACCCTCACCCCCCCTTGTACAAAATGTACAGACTTCGGTGCAGATTTTGAAATGTTTTGTATATTATATGTTGAAATTTTTTCAGATCTTTCAGCCAAGTCCTACGTTCTCATTATCTCCTACTCTTTTGGTTTCTCCGTATCCAACTTTTGCAGTCAGAACCAAAACAGTGAAGATGACGTCCCATACCGATTTTGGTGATTTTTGGTTTTTTGGGGTTGTTTTTTTTTTTCCTTGGCGGGGGGTCATGGGGGGAGGGAGGGTTTGCTCAGTATCCACACACTCCATCCTGCAAAAGCTCTCAGATGAGAAGGGAAGGCCGTGTACATAGCTGTGTAAAAAGAGATTGCTTCGTGAGCTAATGGTTCATATATGCAAAAGGGTAAGATGAAAGCTTTACTTTGTACAAATGTAAATAGATAAAGATTAAGTAACATAATACATTAATACTTCTTTAAAATGTGCTATTTGCAGACCTAATATCAGTGAGCACAGCCTGCCATGGCTGTGTTCCCATATATTGTTATAGACAGCTAAACCCTTCAACTATGCAATGAATGTCAGGGCTTTGCACAAAAGCCCTTCTAACTCAAAGGAGCCTTTTCAAATCCATTTACAACATACTTAAGGTCATATTTTCCCTGAACAAGCGCTTACGTGATATGACTCTGTTTTCCTTGCTTGTTTTTTCAAATAGAGAAACATCCTAATTTTGCAATTTGAACCCCAGGCTGAAAGTTTGCATCTGAAGCCCTGCTTGTGGGCTCTGGGGGTGGGTGGGGGTGGGGCCCGGGGACAGAGAGCCATCCCAAAAGGTAGCCGAGGCCGTGAGCAACCAGTGCCGGGGAGGATGGCAGTTGTCAGATGCCAGAATCAGGGGACACAGACAGGTCGCCAGCATCTTGTCACCACCGTCACCAGTCACATGATCTCACACATACTACACCCCTCCCCCCCTCATGTGGGACCCATGCCTTGTGTCATGCGTCCTGGCCCCTCTCTGTTCTTGCCTCCTTGTTTCGTGATGCAATTTCATCCCACCCCAAACATATCCTGAAAGAAAGCTTCACGTTTTCTCAGATGATGGATTATGTTTTCACTGTGTTCCCTAGCCGACGAACATTTCCTGATGTGACTTGTGGCTTCCTGTCAGTGATCAGGGCTGGGAATGGCCATGGCCGGTGCCCTTGGTGGAGCCAGGGAGAGTTACAGAGGATGAAGGGGGCAGAGACCAAGTCTTGTGCGTGCTTTTGAGTTTGCATCAATCTCTTCATGTCTCTTCATAATACTTTTATAATACATTAAGCCTCTTGTCTACATATTTGGAGAGAATATGACTTTACTAGCAGAGAAATACAATATATCTTGTCTACTGGACTGTAAAATATATGTATGAAAAAAATTAGTTCCATTTGGTCTTCTAGTATATTAAAGTGCTATCTGACGTTGGTATCCTGTTTTTGCAAAAAAAAAAAAGGAAAAAGAAAAAAAAAGGTTAACTACAGACCATTGTTTCTAATAAGCAGAGAGATCTATTTTAGTAGTAAACTGAAGGTTTAGTTGTGAGCTTCAGATTTTGTGAACTCCAGATGTTGTGCAGTGTTTTTTTTTTTTTTAAAGACAACTAAAAAGAAAAAAAATTCCGAGGAATATGTACACTGGAACTGTAGTTGGTAGCTCTCAGTATTGTAAAGAGATTGTTCTATACAGACCTTTTTGCTGTTTATCCTGTATGTAATAAAGTCCTTTCTAGATCCTATGTGAAAAGAGAAGAAGCGACTGAATCTTCAGCATGTTCTCATCGGCGGCGCTTTCTTGTGTAATGTAAACTGTGCCATGTTATTAAAAAATGTGAACTAAGCTTCCAGCTGCCTGTTTGTGTGGGGTGGCCAGCAGTCCCCATAGGGAAGAAGCCTTGTCCCAGGGCCCCCGTGCCAACAGATGGTTCCACACCCCAGGAAACCACTATTAGGTTTCTGCAGGCCCAGAGACCCCATGCAGTCAGTCTTTATATGTTCCCAGCAGTGTAGAGGAAAGCACTTTAATTGAGGAGATGGCCAGGGAGGCGTTGGGGGAGGGTTGGCATCTCCAGCCTCTGAGGCCCAGGCCTTTTCCAGACTTTTTTTTTATTTCTTTTTGGGTCACACCCGGTGATGCACAGGGGTTACTCCTGGCTCTGCACTCAGGAATTACCCCTGGTGGTGCTCAGGGGACCATATGGGATGCTGGAAATTGAACCCCAGGTCGGCCACGTGCAAGGCAAATGCCCTACCCTCTGTGCTATTGCTCCAGCTCCCTTTTCCAGACACCACCGACAGTAGCCATAGAGAACCTTTTGCAGTTTTTCCTCTAGCTCTTTTGCATTTCAGTCTGTGGACTTTGTGTGTGTGTGTGTGTGTGTGTGTGTGTGTGTGTGTGTGTGTGTGTGTTTCCTAAGACCTTCCAGATGTTCTTCTGCTGTCACGACCCTGAGTCGCAGGACTTCTGCCTCATCCGATTGCAGACATCTCCTTTGTCTCTAAAATCAGTTCCGGTTTTCTTCCAAAATGTAAAAAAAAAAAGCGGTCAGTTCTCTCCTGTCAACCTGCTATTGGGATGGGACTGCTCAGATTGATCTTTGTCTCTTCCTGCAAAAATCCAACAAGTCCAGGGCATGGCTGGTCACAGGTGGAAGCAAATGGATAGAAGCGGGGATTCTGGAAAGAAAGAAACCAGAAATTCCTGCGGCTTCCTGGGCAGGACGGGGTGGGGGGGTCCGCTCAGAAAGCTAATGATGGGTTGTTGGGATAAAGGTCTTCCCTCTACTGCATTTACTTGTTAATACCTGACTCCCTGGCAGCAGAAAAGAACTTGAAGAAAGATAGTTGGATTGGATTGCATGACAAACACAAACGCTGATTTTCCAAATCAGGCCTCTTGCGGCCCTCCCAGACTCTCGCTCAGGGCGTCCTGTCTCTGGCAGAGGGGTGCCTGGTTTCCCCTTGGCTGTTTCCTGCACTGTCAGTGTGCAGAAGACGCTCAAATCAGTCACGGTGTTTAATCCCTCGGGCTGTCTGTCTCCACCTTTGCATATTTCCCCTCTAATTACGCTCAGCTCCTCCGCATTGATGGGCACCAGCACCAATTTGATTTCTTGCTAACCTATAGATGCTCTAATTATCTCCACAATCTTTGACTGACAATGATCTTGTTCCCTTCTAATGGTACATGACAAGGAAAACAGCCAAGAGAATGATGCAATAATTACCGTCTTGGAAGGATATTCACAACAGCATTTGCTGTTTATCCTTTTTTCTGCTTCAATCAAGGTGGATGAGCGGAAATAAAGTGGGAGCGTTGACACGGGGGTGGGGGGGTGGGCTCAGGGGAGCATCAAAAGGGGTTTCCGACAGCGCTCTGCAGGGCAATTAGCCACGCAGTGTGCACCACACAGGACCTGCCCGTGTGTGTCAGATCCACGGGGGCCCGCAGGCTGCAGCTGAGGACTCAGTGGCTTTCGCGTGGAGGTCGCATCCGTGGGGAGTGGGAATTCACAAGGGAGTCGAGGGGGGCCTCAGGAGAAAGCTGGTGTGCTCCTGAACAATTTCTTAGACAAGGAAAATTTTGAGTAGAAACACACCATCCAGGGCCTGCTCCACCCTTGTGAGCTGGCAGGGCTTGTGTACTCCTGCAAATTCTTGGCGGCTTGGTCTGGGTGGCAGACGCTGAGTCCAGGCCTCCTGCCCCTGCTGTTGTTTCCTGTGCCCTCCCCCCGAATATCAGATGGCCTCTGGTCACAGCAGCCCTGGACTGGCCAGGCCTACGGATGCAGGGGGCATGGTTTGGTTTGATGTACGGGGCCCAAAGCCAGTGGAGCAAGTGCCTGGTCTTACCGTTCCCATCACCGTGACCAAGAGGCCTTGCTGGTGGATTTGGCGAGTGTGAAGGGCCTGGGCCAGTGGTTACAGGCTCTGGGTAGGAGCTGACAGAACTGGGGCAGGATCTGTTGCTCGGCTCTGCCCAGATCAGGTGCCACTCCCTGCTGTGGGCAGGCCTGGGGGCTCGTGCTCCGAGACGGCCTGTCTCCTGATGCCAGGCCAGTCCTGCCCATGGGCGTGTTCCTCAGCGGCTGTCTTGCTGGCTGCCTGCTACTTGGGCTTCAAGCTTGCTTTAGAGCTTGCAGAGTGTGCGTTGGGCTTCAGGCAGCTTTGGGAAACCTTGTTTTCATTTGACACCTCTGTGAGCAGAGAACTCCAGTGCAGACATTCCAAAGGCTCCTTGACATCTACTGGTGTATATTCAGGGCCGCTGCCCCTCCTCAGAGAGGCCAAAGCCTTCCGGGCCCCCTGTCTACTCATTCCTCCTCTGTTGTGCTCCCGGGATCACCCCTACCCTTCTCTCAGCCCTTCCTGTTCTTGGTCCCAGAGCAGAGCCCTCCTGGCTGTGCAGAAGGTCCCAGGGTTGAGGTCACTGCCAGGCTAGTGGTTTGACCCCAGGTACTACGTGGGGTGCAGTCCTGGACCCTTTCCACCTCCTGACCTGTGCATTCACCAGGAACAAACTGCAGGGGTTGTGGGGTTAATGAACCCCAATGATTTTCTTTCCATTCTTTTTTCTCTCTTTGGGTCACACCCAGCAATGCACAGGGATTACTCCCAGCTCATGCACTCAGGAATTACTCCTGGTGGTGTTTGGGGAACCATATGGGATGCTGGGAATCGAACCCAGGTCGGCCGCATGCAAGGCAAACGCCCTACCCGCTGTGCTATCGCTCCAGCCCCTTCTTTCCATTCTTTTCCAGTTCCTTTTTCTTCTGGCCTCTCCAGCTCATGCCTCAATACTTCAGGGTCTAAATCCCCAAGTTGAAAAATAGTATCTTGGCAGAATTCCAAAGTTTTAGGGGAGTGTCACTCACC